TGCTCCCGACCCAGCTTCCATAGGGCTGCATGCCTCCTCACAGTAAACACAGGCACGCACGCACGCACGCACGCACGCACACGCAGCCAGACCCAGACACGCAGCACGACGCCAGCCCTCCCCCTCCGCCGGCTGGCTCCCGCACCGTAGCTGTGTGCCTGGGGGGCCGCTCTTCTCAGTGATCGATGAGCCCGTCAGAGCTACCCCCGCCCACAGGGCACCCTTCCCGCATGCCCAGGACCCCCCCCTCTGCCCCAGGGGAGGGGGCGCTTCCCCCTTCCTCCTGGATCCTGCCTTCTCCGTTTCTAGACAGAGGACCAAGCAGTGGGATGGGACCAGGGCAGGGGAAGCATACATCAGGCTGCTAGGCAGCACCCTGCCTGACTCCCCTCCCGCCCCTCAGTTCTTCACTCAGGCACTGACAAGCTGGCTGTCAGCAGGGCTTCTAAGCCCAGAACCGAGCACATCCTTGGAATAGGGGAGGCAACGCCTCCCCTGCCTGCAGGAGGTGGCGGCAGTGGGGGTTGTTGGCTAGTCAATGCAGACAGCAGAGGACTGAAGGGCTGGTTTAGAATGCCCGGATGTCCTCAGGGCAGCCTCTGGGAAGAGATCACTTAGAACAGGGGCTTTGGTTTGGCCAGCAGGAGGGAGACACGAGGCTGTGGTATGGGGGCTAGGGCAGGGGAGGTGCACCTGGGGATGGAGGGCTGAGGGGCTGGGTCTCCAAGGCCGAACAGGGAGGAGGATGGCACAGCCACGAGGCAGCTGGGAACAAGACACTCTTGTACCAAGGATGTGCACACGGGGCAAGGAGAGAAGGAACCCTGCCCAGTCCCTCTGACACCAGAGCACAACTCTGCCTAGATTTTTTCCCTCTCCACAGGGCGTTCCTCTCCTGAGCACTTCCAGACTGCTGGCCCCTGGTGCTGGTGTTGGGATGAGGGTCCCTGGGGACATCTGGCGCCTTGGGCTAGGCCGCGGCCTCTCACCTCTTTGGGCTGCTGTTTCCCAGCCTGCTGCTGGGTGAGGAGCTGCAGGTGAAGCTGCTCTTGTTGTTTCTTGTAATATTCCTGAAGCTGTGGGGGGGACAAGGTGGGGAACAGTTAGCCGGCGGGGGCTGCAGACTGCAACTCTGGCCATGTCCTGTGGTGGGGGTGGGGAGGCATTAGCCTGGGCACAAGCAGGGATGGACAGGAGGGAAGTGTGCCCCACAGTCCTGACCCCCCCCTCTTGGGGGCGCTCCTGCCTGGGTCCCAGGCACAGGCTCAGATGTCCCGGTACTTTGCCCTATCCTGGAGTTCCAGAGATGGCAGTGGGGCCTGCCCAGGGGACGGGTGTGTGGGGGCTGGCGGCTGCTGAGCTGGACCTTTGGCCTCTCAGCAGCCCTGAAGGAATGCAGGTCGGCAGGGCCCCTGAGCAGTCTCCCGGTTTCTGCCACCCCTGGTAAACAGGGAGGGAGGTGGGGATGGAGGGGCAGACCCACCTGCTGCAGCATGAGAGCCTGCTGTTGCTGGAGCAGTGCCTGGAGCTGGGGCGGTGACAGGATCTGCTGCATCTGCTGTGGGGTGAGCATCTGTGGCGACATCATGGCCATGGACATGGGCACCTGCGAGGTTTGCCCTGTTAGCGAGGGGCAGTGCCTGGGCCACCCACAGTGTGGCAGAGCCGCTCTGAGTGTCTTTCTAGACGCGGGATGGACCCCTTTTCTGTTTTTTTTTTGTCTTTAAATCAGAACAGCAGATGGGCATGGTGGTGCACGCCTATAATCCCAGCACCCAGGAGGCTGAGGCACGAGGATCACGAGTTATAGGCCAGCCTGGGCTACACAGCGAGACCCGACTCAGTCAGTCAATCATCAATCGGTCAGTCAGTGGGAACAGCAAAGGCCTGCCCTGAAAGGTGCCGTGAGGACTGGGAAGTTAACAGTGGGACAGCCCAGCAGCATGGAGTGCCGATACGGCTGGCTGTCACCACCACCATACAGTAGGAAGATGAGACCCACGGTCTCCCCCAGTCACCGGGAGGGGCGCCATCCCAGTTCACAATGCATCTGAGACTGCTGGCCAACAGTGCCTGCAGCTATGGGAGGGACTGAAAAGTGGCCCACCTGACATGGGACCTGGAGTCCAGCCCTGGTACCTGGTGCACAGCAGTGGCCCAGGCCGGAGGCCCAGGAGCCCAGCAGCACCACCCTGGGGAGTGCATGGAAGGGCTGCTGAGTCTTCAGTCGGGTGGGAGGGAGAGCAGGCAAGGAGTTAGGACAGCAGGCTTTTCCTCCTAGCTCTCCACACAACTTGCTGTGCACCCTCGAGCAAGTCATTTGCCTTCTCTGAGTTGTCAGTGACCTCAAACATGAAGCATGGGGGGGACCATAAGAGATGCCTCCTAGCTGGAGCATCTGGGACTCTCAAAGTGGAGTGGCTCTCTACCTTCTGCCTGGGCCAGGCCTCTCTGGAATGCCCAGAGGGTCCAGCTACTCAATAAAGGCGGTGAGAAAAGTAGCGGCATCTGTCTTTCTTAGCCCCACCTTCCCCAACTCTCCCAGACCTTTGCAGTGCCCGCCAGGCAGGGCCCAGCCACGCCTTAGGACAGGCACCTCATGGGGCTGTCTGCCTCCCCCACCACCCCGTGGGGCCCAGGCTTCCCCTCACCCCATGCTCTGTGGAGGGCTGGGTGCACAGCAAGCAGAGTTAGCTGACCAGGCTGCAGCCTTCCCCAGCAAGCACAGCCCCACTGCAGGCCCAGCTAGGGAGGGATGTCTTGCAGGGACTTGTCAGGTAGGAACAGGTTAGGTCCCAGGGAACCCTCCCCCTCCCCCAGCCCAGCCCCAGCCCTACCTGTGGGGCAGGACTTAGCCAGGAGGGTGGTAAGCTTTGGATTAGGAAATCCCCAGCATAGGAGGAAGCAGAGAGGAGCAGGCTCAGGGGAAGTCCCAGGGTGCTCAGGTCTGCTGACACCCTGGAGCTGGTGGCTAAGCCCTGCTCCTGGCTCTGCTGCCCCTCCCCAGTGAGCTCTGTGCCAGTGTCCCCGGGAAGGGTGATGACCAAGCTTTCTAGGTGCAGAAATGCCGTGAGCACAAAGGCTCCCAGGGACCGTGGGGCCCGTGGTGATGGGACAAGGCACAGCTGGCTCTGGGTTGGCAGCTGGGGTGACCGCCTAGGGGACATGGGTTAGCGGGAACCCCCCGGCTGGGAGCCTCGATGCTCAGTCTAACTATCCTGCCTGCCCTCCTCCCGTGGGTGCACCCAGCAAGGTGGGCTTCATGGGAGTGGTGGCCAGGGGTGTCTTTGAAATCACCAGGCCCGTTTCCCCATCTGCCTACTGGGATGTGGGACACTGGCTCTCCTGAGGAGGCGGAAGGCTGGGCAGGTGCTGGCCACTCATAGGTTGGGTCATTCTGGTCCATGCCCCCCTACGAAAGCACAAGAGGAGGGGGGAGCGCAGAGCACAGCATGGCCAGGTCACTTGGGACCAGAGCATGGGCCAGGGGGATGGCGTGTCCCATGGCTGGAGGCTGAGCCCACACTGTCACGGGCAGTGGCCAGCAGGATGGAGACGACCGTGGCTGGCCTCTCTGCCCCGAGATTCCCGCCAGGTAGCCGGGACCCATAGCCCCTGCCCATGTGCACCTGTCCCAAGGTGACCCTCCTGGTCTCCCTGTGGACGCAGACCAGACTGGGCTCCATGGATCTCCATGGGAACAGCAGAAAGGAACGCAGAAAGGAAAGAAGAGCGGTGGGACATCAAGAACTTCAGGGAGCAGAGCGAGCCCCGGGACTGGCCCAAAGCTACCTGTGCTGCCTTCTGCCACAGAGCTGCTGTGGCCAGGAAACTGCAGGAGCCTCCCACCCTTCCTTCAGGAGGCTCCGATCAGCCCGGCCTTTGCTCCCCTCTCCCGCTGCTCTCAATGCAGAGCTGTTTCTAGGCCCTGGACCCAACGAGGGCAGAGACCCCACCCGCTCTGAGCCTGGGAACTGCGGTGGGAGTGGGAGGCCTGGAAGGGGTGCAAGGCTGGAGGAAAAAGTGGACAACAGCCACACACCAGGCTCCGGGGACGCCAGGCAGCCTTGATTGCCATGTGGCCTACAGTAATTTTGAAGCTCCTCATGCGGGCTCTAATCTGGCCTCTGCTCCTTATCCGCGGGGTGACTCATCCAGCCCCGGCTTCTGTGCCTGTCCACAGGACGCGGGATGGAATGGCCTGACTGTGACTGCCCGGTGTCTGCCGCAAGGCAAGCTGTCCGCAGTGTCAGCTGTGGCTCGGGAAGTGCTTGGCTTCTGCCTTGGGACGCACGGATGACAGAAAGTCAGGAAGGAAGAGGAGAGAAGGCCGGGACAAGGGCCACTTCTGTCCTTCTCACCCAGAGCCCGACACCACTCTCACGCCGGGGGCCACCCTTCCTCAGGCCCAGCTGGGTCGTCTTTCCTGACAGCAGCACTGGGCCCTGCAGCACTGTGAGCTCCTTCTCTCAGGCCATGGGTTGGGGACACCCCTGCTCACAGCCATGGGGCTTCCCACTCAGAGGCCCAGTCCTGATGCGCCGGGCTGGACCCCTCCTCCTCCATTGCTCCCTGCTGCCGGCCACGCCCCTCTTTGCCAGCTCCCCCTTTGGGCCTCACTGGGCCCCAGGTTGCTCAAAGGCTACTGACTGCTGGGGCCCCACAGCTGCCCAGCACCTTGAACCGTTTCAAAGCGCTTTCCAAACATGTGCGTGTTTTTTATAAAACCCAGATACTCTGTCGGAGCGCTGGAATCTCCCCAGGAGAACCCCATCCCAGTCTCTCCCAGGCCCCCTGCTTCCCCGGCCCGCCCCGGCCCCCAGAGCCCCCTGACTCC